AACACAAGAGGAAGAGAAAACATTTTTTAAATTGCTCATACCAGCACTGGACTCTTTGTTAGTACACAGATGGTGTTTTAAAAAGTTAGTCAGGATAAAAATGTTGTGATAACTAAATTTCTATACGTCAGCCATGGTGTCATGTCGGCATTTGTGCAAGTTTTGTCTTCCAAAAAACCAAGGATCCTTTTCTACTAAGTTAACCATAAAATACTAAAAGGCATTCAAAGTTATAACAATAGTTTCTTCAAGCAACAATAAAATAAATGGTTATTTCCACTCTTCCAGAATTATTTCTCTTATTACAAGACAATTTGCAAAATACCATGGCTCGTTATAGCAACGAATTAAATTAATAATCTTCCATTCAAAACCACAATAAATACCATTGTGGCCACAACAAGTACCATGGGGGTTAGCAAATTGAAGAATATCTCACTACATCAACAGTACACATTATCAACTTGATGTAGTCTTTTTTTTTTGTCTTAACAGTTTCACCTGCCCCCCCTCCCCCCCCAAAAAAAAAAAAAAAAAANTGGAAAAATGTGGACTTACTATTAATATTCCCTTTAGTTTTCGTATTAAAAGGTTAAGGACAGATATAACTGAAAAGTCAACATATCAATATACTCAGACATTTTAAGAAAAATCCAAACTCATTTCTAGATCTGTTCAAGTAAAATCGGTAAAAGATGGACATTTTACACTGAAAGAAAAAAATTGGCAAATAATTACAAACTGACAAACATATTAAAGAAATAATATACTCTTTTCAATATAGAAAACATTTAAAATAGTTTTTCAACTTTCCTAAATTTGCCCCTTTGACAGTTACATTCAGAGCATCACGAAAATAGTCTTGTTCAGATTTTACTTAATTTTATTCACAATAGATAAACATATGTACATGTTTACATCACAATACTAAAAATTACAACTTTTTTTCCACATACACAATTAAGTTCCCTCTTTGAGCAAGTACGTGTTGTACATTTGAATGTCTAAACAGTTTCTTTAATATTAATTAGCAATTCCAGGTAAATTCTTAATAAATATCTTGAATATTTAAATACAGATATCAGCAACTGTCTACCCGATTTGAGCTAATTATGAGAATCATTAAGGTAGTCAGAGTTCACCATATTCAGTTAGACATTTCATGACAGACAAAAAGAGGATTGCAGGTTCACAACCCTAACACAAACAGCTTTTAAAACTGAAAGGAAAAAGACCTCACCAATCTAAATGTTAATTTTTAATAATAAGCATGCTGAATTTTACACTCCAGTTGTATTAAAACATGTATATAGCCCTCAAACAACTGAAGGTACTACTAATACATATCATACATATCTTAAACATACCAAGAGTGCAATAACTGAATAATATCTGAAAACAATTGAAACCTCAAAACAATATAATTTCAAGCAATGGCCTGTAGCTGACAGAAATATACACCATAAAAGTAACTTTTATTCTACTAAATTTGAATGGCATTCATTTATTCGTATTAGTGCTGTTGGCATACAAGATATATACAACCTTTCGGCATTTATTGAAAATCTTAACAGGCATCTTAATACAAAGTCACATTTCACTTTACTTAACTAATGCATCTATGAAAAAAATTAAGACTTTAGATGGTCTTTTTGAGCCAATTCAAAACACACAGCACCCAATGGCCTTAACAAGTTCAAGGTCAGTCAAGGTCATCTAAGGTCATCTCATCAAATTGCTAGAGAGGCTCTTTGGCAAGAAAAGGTTGTGATTAATGATCACTGTAAGTGTTTTACTTGGCCAATCCCTGTGAAATGTGTGCTGTATATGTGCACTATACCAAGAAGACATGTCTGCATTATATAATATAATTATAATTGATACAACTTTGTTAGTAATGAACTCCTATAAAATACCTTGTACCACAATTAATTTCAAATTTTGTTTAACTTTTCTGATGTCATTCACCTCAGTTTTCCTTTAGACCAATAATGTTCCTCACCAATCTACATGTAGAACATGTGCATATTCCCAGTGTGGATAAAAAGCAGGTGTGCGAGCGAGTGTGCATGTCTGCATGTATATGCGTCTAGGGAAGAAACAACAAATTGTCTGTCATCATTGGGCTTTCTGTCCATTTGATAAAATTTACATTTTTCCTCCTGTGAAAACACTTAATCACAAATATTAATACTCAAACACCTTATATATGTTTGGAGATAAAGATAAACACAAGAGGAAGAGAAAACATTTTTTAAATTGCTCATACCAGCACTGGACTCTTTGTTAGTACACAGATGGTGTTTTAAAAAGTTAGTCAGGATAAAAATGTTGTGATAACTAAATTTCTATACGTCAGCCATGGTGTCATGCCGGCATTTGTGCAAGTTTTGTCTTCCAAAAAACCAAGGATCCTTTTCTACTAAGTTAACCATAAAATACTAAAGGGCATTCAAAGTTATAACAATAGTTTCTTCAAGCAACAATAAAATAAATGGTTATTTCCACTCTTCCAGAATTATTTCTCTTATTACAAGACAATTTGCAAAATACCATGGCTCGTTATAGCAACAAATTAAATTAATAATCTTCCATTCAAAACCACAATAAATACCATTGTGGCCACAACAAGTACCATGGGGGTTAGCAAATTGAAGAATATCTCACTACATCAACAGTACACATTATCAACTTGATGTAGTCTTTTTTTTTGTCTTAACAGTTTCACCTGCCCCCCCTCCCCCCCCAAAAAAAAAAAAAAAACATCTAGCAAATGGCAAGGAATTATTTAATTATTTTGGCAAGGCAGGTTTATTTATCATACACATCTGAAAACATAGAACAATCAAAATACAATTGATTGTTTTGACATTTGATCCAATTTGTGGGGTCAACATTGTATAACATGGGGTAGTGAAAACACAGTCAAACCATGTCTGCCTTTAATATCAGAAAAACAGAGAAAAAATTACCAAACGCAATTCAAGTTCTCTATCAACACCATCTACAGATTCAGGCAAGAAAAACATCAGAAGTCAAAATTATGTTAGTGTGTGTATTTATGTTGAGTAATCCAATTGTGTCAAGTAATTGTTTAGGCACTGTGTGAGAAGTCCGGTTAGTGTTATACTGGGTAAAAAGTCATGATGCAGGACTTATATTTTTTGGTTATGATACAAATTGTACACAGTGTTTAATAGATCTTTGAAATAAGTTTGTAATAGATTTCCACAGTTATTGTATTACAGACAACAAATATTTCCAATTAAATGTACATAAATAAATAAATAAATAAATAAATATGAATATTAAAGGGGCTTAATATTCTCACAATCTTTAAATGAAGAATAATCTAAGTATTAAGGATGATGAACCCAACAATATATTACAAAAAAATGAGTTTTTTTTTGTGTATATGGACATGATGCTAGGTTGAATTTTCAATGAAAAGCCTGTCTGGAGATTACCAGAAAGGGGGGGGGGGGGGGGAGATGGGATGGGGGGCAGATATGTAAACGTAGGCCAGACAAAATGGTTACAGAGGGGTGAACCTCTGTAAGCAGGGTCCTTATGCGCGATTTAGGTTTGGGTTTTAATATATGACATTTAACAAAACATAGCAGCTAAATTTTAGGGTTAGTCAACTAAGGGGAGAGGGGATATGCTGGTTATCTGATTTTAGCAGCCTATGCCAAGCCCCAAAACAGTCAAATTTTAGTGAAACAGTCCCCTGGGTATTGGAAGAAAATGAGGTCATGTTCTTTAGCCAATTTACAACATATCTAGATTCATGTTTAATCTTATTATGTTCAGTATTTTGAAGATTCTTCCCTCCAAGCATTACTTTAAACTTAAGTTTTTTTTAACAAATCTACCATCTTACAATCTATGAAAATTTTAACCCTGAGATATTGAATATTCAAATATGTTTCTCTTCTCACATGCAGTAAAATAAATAAATAAATAAATAAATAAATAAATAAATAAATAAATAAATACAAATTAAATCATAAAGGCAATGTTATATACAGGTACTGTATCAGGAGCTGGTGTGGATGAAATGTCAGCCCCCCCCAATATCCCCATGTTATTGGAGAAGGCATTAAGTAGCACCAGTCTCTAATAATATCAAATGAGCAAAAATATGATTCTTTTTTGGTATTTCAAAACACATGGTAACTATTCATTCCATTAAACCTACTCTGTATCAATGGTTTAAAATGTTGTGTCATAAACAGGGATGTGATATAATAATGGTTTAAAATGTTTTGTCATAAACAGGGATGTGATATAATAAAATATTATTTTATGTGTTCTTCATAAATTAAGGACTGTACATATTCATAGGTTGCACTTGTAATCTATCAGCCAATATATAACAACATAAAAAGCACACACTGCACATCGGACCTTTATATAACAAATCATCAATTATCCTTGAAATTTCAGCAATTATTCCTTTACTATTAAGGTATACCCTTTCCAAAACAACCGAGAAAATAATGAATTATAAGCAAATGTAGTTTCAAGTATGAAATTTGATTTTTATCATCAAAAGTTCAACTTATCAATCTCTGTCATCATAACAAGAGACAAAAAAAAAAAAAAAAAAAAAACTACATTCTTTAAACGGTTTCAGATAGGGTATTCCTTGGTGATGCAGGTATAGAGTTGTTGAAAATTTCTATAAATTGCCTTTCCTTTGCTCATATGTAAAAATCAAACAGGCACTATAACTGTCTTTAAAACACTCCCAAGCATTTGGCTACAGCTTGTTTTTATGGTAGAAGCATGCAACAATTAACAGCAATCCTTCATGTAGTGCATTGTTGTGTATTTAGAGTCTCAGTCAGAGAGAATATGGGCAATTTGTTACAATTAAAGTACTAATTAAACTGCATGTAATATTGCAACCGCTTTAAATTAATCAGTATTTTTAATTCCACTGCTTGTAACTTTTTTTCCACTCACTTCATGTCTGCCATCAAAAATATATATACACTATATTTACATGTGGATTTTTTTCAATGTGCACGAAAAATTAAAACAGATTAAAACTATTAAATACCATATAATGTTATTAATTGGCAAATCATTGTTAAGATTATGAGTCAACCTGTGATCTATCAATGATTGCCTTTGATGTAAAATCCCAAATGCTAAGTTTGTATTATAAATCCACAATGGGGGAGTTGTCATCGGTTTTCAGCAGAAGTTTTTGGGATTTTCCATTATGTGCATAGTTATTATTACTTGACTCGGCTGTCTCGCCTGGTCTGTTTTTTAAGGGAAGCAATGCCATGGTGACTCCATTTGCTGTGCGTTCTTCACTAAAAGGGCACTCTGTGTATGTTGTATGACCTTGACTTTGCCACTGTCTTGTGCTCGTAGACGACATGTTACTTTCTCTGCGATGTGTTCGCATGGTGCTGTCCGCATGCGACAGTGCGCACAAAGTCTCCTTGTCAATACAAGGCCTGAAGAAAGTTGTCAGTAACTCTCTGCGGAACTTCTTGCCAAAGAAGTAATATGGAACAATGTTGATGGCGGAATTTAATGCCACCAAAAAATTCCCCACCTCATTATAAATAAATACCGCTGTTGAAAAAGAAGCATTAATATCAAAGGCCCAGATTTCTCTTGCTATCAAGGCTGGCACTTGGCATATGAAAAATACCATAACCACACCTATCAGCATTACTGTAGTATTGTTTTGGTATTTTTCCTGTGGATTGAGCTCTCGGGCAAGTTTTCGAGATTGTCGAACAGCGTGGATAAGAAAAGCGTTCAAAACAGCCAATGCCAAGAATGGAACTCCGCAGACAAACACAAGGTAAAGCCATGAGTGGACAATCTCTCGGAAAACGTAATCATTTCCCAGTTTAGTTAACTGGTACACAGTTTTTGTTCCCAAAAACTCAATTTCATTTGTCTCATATTCGAAGAATCTCACCAGATTGAAAAGTACTCCTAGCACAGAAATTCCACACACAACCTTCCTTGCTCTTGATTTTGAGCAATATTTCTCAGCTTTAAATGGATGGCAAATCATTATGTACCGATCTACAGTAAAAGCTAATGTCAGCCATACCGAAGTCACTTGAAACATAATAGCAAGTGGGTGCACATAAGGGAACAGGTACGCATAGTATACACTATAACTTGGCCCATAAAATTCTCGCTCCCTTTCTGGGATTTTTGTATCCTTTGAGAACAAGATCATGGTCATAAGTAACACCAAGGCGTCACAGGCCGACAAAGCAGCCAAGTACGTATATGTTGATGATTTCATGCTTTTTCGGGTTAGCACAATGGCAGACATTATGTTTGCAATGATCCCGAGGACACAAACAATCATCCCGCAGACGCCTAATAAGTAGAATGTCACAAGAGCATGTGTGAATTGTATTTCACTGTCTTCCGCGTATGGAGGTACCGACCAGTTCTTCCAATAATTGTTATCAATCAGGCCAAAGGTCATGTTTTTTTCTTCTAAAAGTGTCATGTAGTCGGTATTGTCATCTGGGATTTGTGTGCTAGTTAGCCCATACTTCTGTTCAAAAATGCGCAAAATAAAATCATCTGCTGTTGTTCCCATTCTGTTGATGAAGAAAATCTTCCAAATAAAAGAGAATTTAAAACACTGTTCCTGTTGATGATTTTTTCCCTTTTATAAAGGATTTTAAATGAGCAAAATGTACTGCTGATTTCTTTCCTAAAATGCCCTCTAGGTCAAGTCTTCTTTGACTGTGTCATCAGGTGTACTAGTTCCAGCAAGTTAAAGGGAGTATGGCAAACTAAATGGAATCCACAACCTCACTGAATCCTCAAATGAAAACACAGCTGATCAATTGGTGGAAGCATCTTCAGATTCTGATTACCCAAAAGCCCTATCAGTGTGTATATAAACTGTACTTATTAGTAGAAATTGGGAAGTTGATCAGCTTTGAATTCGAATGTATAAGAACCATCCTTCTGACGTAGTCTACAACACTAGGAATGGACAGTTTGTTTTTCTTGCAATTTACCTGCATGCAGTCGGTGTTGTCAGCTTAAAACTTACATAATAACGCTGGGCGATCTCTTGGAAAATAGCCCACAAAATGATACATGAAATCAATGGCAATGTCAACACCTTTGATCAGTTAACATAAACTGAGCCAACTGTTTTCAATGTACGTTTCTTCCTGTGCAGAATCTTCAACAGGCAAGATGGATGGTCAGAGATCGATAGTTCTCTTATCAAAGTGTCCTTTTGCGGTCAATCTTGATGAGGTCAATCGTTCCAGAAGAAAAAAAGATAACCAGCTTCAGCAATGTTTTCTCAGTAAAGATCTCTCTTGATCATTTTGGTTGCTGAAGTTGCCAAAAAAGTTGTGAATATTAATCTTTATGGTCTTTGTCCTACCAACTTCTTTTAAATGTTGAAGACAGAAATGACAGATTGGTCTCAATGAATGAAGATGTACTTTACAATTAAATTTTTCTCAGTCTTGTGGAATATGTTTCTGTTCAATGTACTGAACTGTTCATCTGTTGTCAACCTTTCCAATATCACTGGTGTCCCGAGGATGAAATTAATCATCAGACGCTCAATTTGTCTTCACTTCATGAAAACCCACTTCCAATCGTCACTTTCTGCTGAAATTGTTTTCAATCTGTTTTCCTGGCTGTTTGGGTCAGTGCGACCTCTTAGTTATCATTCCTAAAAAATTAAAAAAAGAAAATGATTAATAGAAATAATATGGTACAATATCTAAATAAACGAAGCACATTCTAAATCAGCATTATTATTGAACTTCATCATGTGTCTCTTCCCAATTAACTAAGGTAAATGGGAAAGCAGGGACATGATAGTTGTCAAGGGAACGCCTTGATAAAATACAAAAGATCTGACACATCTGTACTTGTATGTCTACACAACCCTGTCTATAGTCATCCGAGTTAAATATTTCTTCAGGACGACCTCTGTGACCTTGAAATCTAGGTGATTAAATAAAAAGTGAATGAAATGTACGCTATAATTCATTACAAAAACCAAAGAGACTTGAAAAATAAAACCCATTATATTTATTTGTGATATAAAGTTGCACGACCAATCTACAAATTAGACCCGTTTCACCATTTGCTCAAGCTATCACATTTTAATATGAGAATGTGAATCACTTCTGGTTTCCAAAATAACAGATGGATGTTGGACATGTGTATAATAATACTGACAAAGTTTTTTTTTCCTAAACAACATGATTCAAAATCTAATTGGTCAAGTGCATGAGTAACGTAAATGTACCTGTCAAACACCGCCAATCAAGCACTTCTGTAACCAGCATTGAAAACTTTATAAATGTATCTGCACTCATTTTGTACCAGGCAAAATCATGAACACAATTGGGTTATAACCTTTGTACACTTTGATCTACAGTGCAAAATTAAGATTTTTTTGTCATTTCACAAGTTCGGCATTTCTATACAGCCGATATTAGAGCGTTGATGTAAAGTGACACATAATGACAGAAATAACTTATTGGCATTAGCACTGACAAACTCATTACTTCAGATGTTTTTGACATGGATCTGGTAAAACCAACCAAAAGGACAAGCAGTCTTCGAACATATATAAAAAATCAATGTTTCACTCCATGAGCTATTAAGACCAAGTCCATCACTGTTTTCCATAACATATTCAGACTAAGTCATCATGAGTTAGTATTTATAATCCCTAGTTAGCACAATCAATGGATGAGAAGATAAGTTATCTAAGGGATAGCAAAGTTTCATGTCTCAATGTTTATATGCATTTCAACATTAATAAATGCATGATTAAAATTCCAAACAAATGGTTTACTTCTTGAAGTCAGTGTAGAGATGGCTTTTGATAAAACGGAGCTGAATGCAGCCTTCATTCCTTTAACTGAAGGAACACACATACAAGTAATAGGTCTATTTGAAGGCAAAAAGAAGGCGAATTCGGCTTTTGTGATTTTCTGAAGCCATTAACCAAATTCATTTCCTCAGATCAACTAATAAGTTTGAAGATCTGTTCACTTTTGTTTCCATAACATTAGACGCCCAGGAGGAGATTTTTTCCATCAAGTGAGAACGTCATTGTGGCAAAACTTTATTTTCAATCACTTACACATTTTCTTTCTGTCTGAAGACCCTAAATTACCTGTCAGATATGCCATGTAAAACATGTCCGTTTCTGTAACAGTAATTTGTATAAGCTACTTATGACAGAACAGTACAGATATACTGCGTGTACCAGCTTATTCCTTTCTACACTGTCGTCAGACCTTAAATAATAATCTTGTCACTTCAATTTGGCATTTCCTTGGCATAAGCCAAGTCCTTTCAAGAGAATTTCACAAATCCAATTTACCAAACAGACAAGTAATCACCCATCATTTTGGCATGTACAAGACTACACATATTTTCTTTAGGTCTCCCTTGACAAATTAAGAACAGTGTGAGATTTATAGCCCCATGCACACTGTCTTTTTATAACTTCTCCCATGTTGTGTCTGTATTTAACAGTAACTAATAGTTATACCCATCAAACAGCCTTGCTCCTCCCACCATATGAAATCTTTTGCCCTTTTCATGAATTAATTTTAGACCAAAAGTTCTTTTTCACAAGTCAACTGGTCACTCTCACTGCATGACCACTGATTCTTCCCACCTATGACCATTGGTCACTACAACCTCTGACCATAGGTCATTCCCACCACTGATCATTGGTCCCTCTGAGCACTGGTCCCTTTTCCATCTGATCACTGGTCCCTCTCTCTCTCTGACCACTGGCTACTCCCACCTGTGACCACTGGTCCCTCCTACATCTGACCACTGGTCACTTCCACCTCTGGTCACTGCCCCCTCCCCCCTCTGACCACTGGTCATTCCCACCAAAAAGCTTCAGACAACTGCTAGTTCAAATCAAAATTAACTAGTTCACTACAGATATTGGAGAATGATTTTAAAAGACCACTAAAAGGTGTAGCCGGGGGGGGGGGGGGTCAGGAATGTAGCTATCTTCTTAACTGAGCAAGATATGTCACACATGTTGCTATCAATAAAAAGTTTATATCAATAGCTATTCATTCATATCATTATTTTAATGCGTCATAGTTACATGAGATATAAAGCTTCATATGTTTTCTCAGAAAAAGATTAAGACCAGTGTCAAAACTAATTAGAACCTCCAACCCATGAAAGCTTGCACTTATTCATTAGATCTAAGCTTTGTCATATAGAATGTACCTTGGATTTCTTTAATACCAGCTATTTTTTTAACTAAGAGTGGTTCAGTCATGGTAGGGGGTATGGTTGAGGATGTAATTAATGTTAGTATATTGGGATATCATTAACACATATCAAGAGCTTAATTTAACACATGTAATTTAACACATCAAGAATTTGAAAGACATTTCTGTTAATGCCAAATGCGGGCTAACAAACTAATAAGCTATCTAACATGCATAGTGTAGTGTACTTTTGCTACATGTTAAGGGTATAAAGATAAGACTAAGAAAACCTTTTCAGTATTACATAATCCTTTCATAACCATTACATAATTAAATAATGTTATGAAATGAATTGATGTTGAAATAATGGTATACCTTGGTTGATTAAGAAGATATAGCCATGTTCATGTTACTTCCCTGTCTACGCCATTAAATCTTCCAAAATCTGATTGGAGTCAAACTTTTAAAAATCTTATTTTCCTTTACCTAATCCAATACCAAGTCTATCAGTCAATTGCTGCAAGTAAGTAGCTGACATCATGGACTGATAAAAATAAAAATAATATTGAAAATAAGAAGAAAAAAGAAGAAGACCATGAAGAAGAAGAAGCAGCAGCAGCAGAAGCATTATCTGAAGAAACTATTAGCACAATGCTTCTTACCTTACTTTCTCAGTGTTACAAGACCAAACCCATGACTGTACAATTGCAATATAAATTATTGCAAGGCCATCACAATGATCAAAAATTCAAAAGACAGCCATGTGACTGAACTCACATCACCCCTATCCCAGACTGGCCAGGTAGGATTTCAAAAGAACCTCTAAAGGCCGCAATAACAATACTATAATGACACCTTTGGCATATGTGTAGGCCCTCATTATAAGGAAAGTAACCCATACTTCTACCAAGAGTAAGTGATTTCTTAATCTTATTAGCTCTATACATCTTAGTTTGTCAAACGATGAATGACACATAATTATGGACTCAAATCCTATTTCACATTCACACAAACCATGATTAACAAGTCGAGTAATGTCTTTGGAAAGGAAGTGAAAATTGTCCCCTTGTTCTCAGCTTAATTGCAGTCCATAGCTACTGTTATAGATACATATAAAAATTTTTTCTTTTCTATGGTGACAATATGACATCAATTTTCAGCACATTCAATAAATATCAAATACCTTTACCTCCCTGAGACAAATCTAAGGGACAATTCCCACAGATATTTGGATCGATCTATCTCCCTGGGGAGTCTCACTAAATTGCTGTCAACTTGGCTGGCTTAAATGTCTGTCACACCTAGTGAAGCTGTTAGGGGGTAATTATCTTTACCCCCTAGCTGATTTGGTAGGCTGTGACAGACATTAAAGCTGGTTAGTTGATAACAACTTAGTGAGACTCCCCAGGGAGTTAGATTGATACAGATGGATCGATCTATGTATGGGAACCCAGTCTAAAACTCTATGTCACAAGGATTTCTACTATCTAAGAGAAAAACCTTGGTCATTCGAGATGGGACTTATAGTATGACCAACACCTCACCCAATCAATAAGATCCATGGACTAACAGATCCGCCAATCCACTTGAAAGTTTGCCACATAATCCCCTAACAGACACTAAAAATATTTTCCACTGGGATTACACAACAAGCATTCAAGTGGGTCAGCCATATTTGATCTACAGATCGACTTTAGTTGTGAATGCCACTTTAATTTATAGATCATACTCCCTTGTTTAGTCTTCTACAGGAGACACAAACACATTCTCATCAGAAGCAACCACATACTGACACATTTCAACAGCAACCACTGACGGACACATTGTTTTCAAAACAATCGGCAGACAACACATATATATCATGTTTTCAAAACATTTTATGTGTCATCATGATATTCATTTCTGTATTCAGACATCGAGAGCATTCCTGTGTCTGATCATGCAATATCAACACATAAGCAAAAACACTTTTGGAAATGTTGTATTTGAGTTGATGATATGTCTATATAAATCACTACAATGCTTCATATATTTTTTTTAAAGAAATTCTTTTAAAGTCACTTTTTAAAATGATTTAATGACCATGGTACTATTCACCTGGCATCTTTCAGTTTTTGAGTTGACCATAAATGTGTGCTTTTTAAGTGTTTGATGAATCCAAGGATTAAGTCTGAGATGGTGAGATTGAGTCAAATAATAATAATAATAATAAGTGTGCTGTCAAGATAATAATAATAATAATAATAATAATAATAATAATAATAATAATAATAATAATAATAATAAGTGTGCTGTCAAGAGAAAAAAAAAAATTTTTCATCTTATACTGGATAAACATTGATCATCTCAAATATGTTTTCCAAACAAGATTACGTGACAACTGGCATGATTTAGACATCAGCAAAAACAGCTTTTTATCTTACATCTGTTTTTATTTTATAATGCCAAGTTTTTAGGCAGCTGCATGTAATAAAGGTTACATAATTGGTAAAATACGTATCATATATAATTTCAATTAGCTCATTTCAAATCTATATTATTTTTAAATGAAGTACTTTTTCTTTACTAGTGAATCTTATTTTTTTTCCCGCAAGACACGGTCACAAAAAACATCCTAAATCTGGTCTCAAAATATGTGAATTTTTGAGATAAATGTTTCTCAATCATATCTTGGTACAGACTGAAAACTTGATCTGGCACAATATAGTATTCTGGAATGTCAACTGGTGTCCAGCTAAACTGATAGAGTCACAATTTGTACCAGCAGACCCTAATTTTAACCATGAAATAAATGATTATGAAGAGTGAGGGCATATCCCTTGAGTGATAACAACTTCTACCAATTTTTTTTTCATGTAAACTGACTATACCTGATAACAAGAGAAGACTGAGAATTCTGAGATAATTGTTTTTTCCTTTACATTTTCTGTGGACTTTTATTACTTATGAAAGTCACTATTTTATCTTTTTTCTTTAACCTAAATTTTACACTAATTAACATATTTGGATACAACACTCTAAAAAAAAAATACCACCATCATATCATCATTATTTGCTTTAATTATCTCTTACATATAAAGACAACATCAAAATCTTACTTACAATTTTTCACTCTACCTCACAGGATGATTCACATGGCTAATACAACCTCTGTGTAATTTTGTTTTCACTGAAACAAATTTCAACTAGTAGGAGGGAAATCAAACAGCTCCTGTCGATTGAATAATCCAGGAACGTACCACACGCTGCCTTCTTGATCTAGGAAAATCCAATTTTAAAGGTACAACTTACCTACATGTAGAGGCCAAGTGAAAAGGGATGATTTCACAAACCTATTATCAGTGATACCCCCCAACTGACCAGACGGAGGAATTTAACTTGCGGTATTTTTAGCAGCACAGCCTGTAACTCTGGTCTGCTTACTCTCCGTCTATATTGTTTTCAGTGCTGCCGCCTCTATTGTACCAAGCACGCCCTAAACTTGGTGACATTTCAGCAAGACTATAATTCCAATAAATCAATGCACCGCTGATATAATGTTGTTCTATTATACACCAATAACAAGCCTTGAAAATCAGAGCTGCAAGATACTGAACCAAATGAACCCGGAGGCTACTTACATTTGCATCCATGTCATTTACATATAGAACAGTGTTTGGGGTTCGGGTTCTTTCAATCACTGCAATACACAAACAGCAGTAATGAATTATTATATAGAGCTGCACTTATTTCTGTTTGGGATCATTATTTTTTTGACATAGTAAGTGATGAACTGTCATTTTGTAGTAGATATGGGAATCATCAGGCAATCACAAAAGAATTCAAGTTACAAAAAAAAAAAAAAAAAAAAAAAAAATCTCAAATGCTGTTTTCCTCAGGTCTCATTTTTCACTTTTACTTGGTACACCTTCAAACCTGTCAATGAAAATGTCTTTAGTAATGCAAACATATTGTTAAATTGAACTATTTTTTCTCGCAAGATGGGTAAATACAAATAATTATGAAATCAGTTTTACATGCCATTACAAGATATGTACATCATCTCACCTTCCTTAAATGGCAATCCAAACTTGTGTTATCCCATAAAAATTAATTTTAAACATAAGATACCACAAGTTCTCCACTGCAGCCACTGTGGGGCCCCATCACTACATGTATCTGTTCCCACCAGCAGAATGACACAAAACTCTAATCCTTAATTTTCTTGATGGTGCATGTACTATTATATATATTCCTTCTATATAAATAATCTAAAATCTCCAGTCATACAATGATTGGCAACCAGCATAAAATGACAATTTAAAAAAAAAATTCAAATTCTTCCCACCTTTTCCTTCCAAGTCATTCAGTGCAAAAATTCTCAGCTTGGAGAGTTTGATCTGAAAATCTTTTCATTCTCCTTGTCTTC